TTGCATTTAGCATATGCAACAAGCCTTTTAAACCCCTAGGCGTCCCTAGAGGACGAGTAAAGTCTCGTGAGGGTTTAACAGGAATGTTACCCACAAACATCAAACATGGTGCATGAAGATGCACAAAGCTCATTTGCAAACTTGGAACATAGAGAACATTGGAAATGGAATCATTATGAAGACTACCTTGTGTATATGAAGCATTGATAGAACAAAATGGCTAATTATCTTTCAACTCTCAAATATTAACATCATAGTCTATATAAATACTTCAATTGTCATATCTATAATAGAAATCATCTCTAACTTCATTTAAAGTGAACCGGATTCCCAATATGCAGCTTTTACCCTCTTGTTCCAATTTCAAGAACACAAATTTTCAATTCATTGAATTTCCTTTTAAATGAGGTCTCTAAGGCATGATTTTATTCAAAACACAACTTTTGTTGCTTTTTTTTTTTTTTTTTTTTTTTAAAAAAAACATATTATGGTCATGCAATGCCGAAGTCCCTTAAGCTTTCTAACTGACCCATGTAGCAAGTGTTAGGTCAACAACTCCCAAACCGGATGGCTTTAGGGTGCTAAGTGTAAAGACACTCCTAGGGCTTAATAATTCGAGTCAGTAAGGCTACGAACTCCAACGAACCATATTTATTTATTTTTATTTCGTGAATGACCGTGCAATGCTTAAGTCCCTTAAGCTTTCTAACTAACCCATGTAACAAGTGTTAGGACAACAACTACCAAGCCAGATGGCTTTAGGATGCTAAGTGCAAAGACACTCCTAAGGCTTAATAACTCGAGTGAGCAAGGTTACGAACTTAAACTAGTCATTATCATTATTCAACTTCATATTTTATTATTATTATTATTATTATTTTTTTATATTCAACATGCCAAAGGAATCCATTCATTAGGTTCATCAATTCAAATCAACTGAGTTAAGGTCAAGGTCAATCAGGTTGCATGCCTCACAATTAAGTTTTCGGTGTGCATATGTGAAGTGTGAAGCATAGAAGAGAGTGATACTCGAAGATAATCTAATTGAAACTTTTATACAACCATTTGGAACCCACATACTCATTTCAGTTTTTCCTCATTTTATAACTATCATTTACCTCTATACACAAGGTATTCAACACATGCTTTAATCTCTAACAAATTCCAAAATTCCATAATCATTGCTTCCATTTTTTTAAAAATTTTCAGTTTTAAAACAATCTACTTGAACAAAACAGCAAAATGTCTACTTGAACAAAACAGCAAAATGCAAACACTATACAACACACAATACCTCCAAACTTGAATGGCACATTGTCCTTAATGTGTGAAGACAAAGATGTATAAATAAATAGCATAGGGGGGTAAAAGGAACAATAATACCAAGTGAGTGAGGCAACTCTGGCATTGTAGCCGCATGCAATCCCATGAAGAGATGCCAAAATGATCTTCCCCCAAACTTGAACATAAGAACCTATGAAAATAACACTAAAGCGCACAAGTATAAAAGTATAGGCACACAAAAACAAACTAAAAATGTGCAAAGGAAACTAAACTAAGCATATTCACAAATGCAAGAAACCAAATAAAAAAAATTATCTAGTAAAATCAAAACATCTAAAAATTAAAATGAAATAAAATAAAATCTAAAATAACATAAAATAAAATCTAACTACGAATCTCAAAGTAGGTTTTACCCTACACCAAGTCTCTCTAGAGAGTTATACTTCCCCAAATAAGTTCTTTTAGAAGCGGAAGAAAAAGAGTTTGAAGAAAAAAAATGAAAAGAGGTAAAGGAAAGACCTCAACCCACTCTTCATCCTCAATGAAGAACTTTGGATTATGAGGCTGATTTGGATTATGGGAAGGTGGATTAAGTGAGAGCACATCTAGCAAAGACTGGTGAAGGGTTAGATTTGGCATGGGAATTTCTGGAAAAATATCCTTCACACTTTCAACATCCTCCTTACACTTATCCGGTGGTTCGGGCTCAACAGTTTGAGATAACTCAAGAGAGGGAATGGGAGGAGATGCAAGCTCCTAAGAAAGAGATACATTTGATGTCGCCCAAGGAAGAGAGTGAATGGGGGAAGGAATATCAAGTAAAGAATTTACCTCCTAAATAGAATTGTCAACATCAAAATCCTCACAATTGAAATGAGCCAAGCAAACTTTTAGAGGATCTTCCATTAAAGGAGGATCTCTTCATGGGCTGTTTTGGATTTTCAAGGGAGACAATCTCTTCATCATTATTTTTCTCATTTTGAAACACCATTTCTTCATTTTCACATGTGGTAACCATTTGATCATTCTCATGATGAAAATTACTAGGAGTAATCTCATCATTTATAGAATTTTCTTTTGGATTAGCCACAAGTTCAACGGGAAATTCTTCTTCCTTTTCATGATTTAGAGCATTAACCATTTGTTGAATTTGGGCTATTTGGTCATCTAACTCAACTCTAGATTGGGAATGAGAATAGGTGGTGGATTGCTTGTTAATAGTGTCATCCAACATTTGTTTATTGGAATCCAGCATTTACATGCCGATAGACTCTATCATTTGTTTGTTGGTAGCAATAAACTCATCCAATTGAGATGGTGGAAAAAGAGAAGAGGGCTGGAAATAATGATCATTGGGTTGAAAATTGGCGTGAAAATGTTACCCATGAGATTGTGAGGCTGAATTTCCTATGTCATGCCACAAGAAGTTTTGATGATCTCCCCAACCTGAGTTATAACCATTGAAGTATGGATGATTACCTGGTTCAAAGAAATTTTCAGTTGGTTGCTCTAAATAAAAATCTGAGAATTGTCCTGGTGGAGGATAATCTCTTGTATGATGTGTATGACTAGAACAAAATGCACAAAACTCATGTGGTGTGTAGAATTGAGTTGGAAGATAATTACCCTCCATTTAGGACTAATTCAACCTCTTGTTGAGATACATAAAAATAAAAATAAAGTAAAAAAAAAAAAAAAATTCACACAACATATATACAACACAAATAAGATACACAACAACCCTTCACCAAAACATCCACATACAATGATCCCTTTCTCTTCAATTATCAACAAGACAAAAAAATAAATGGCCATGACAAGGACCGATGCTTTGCAATATAGTAAACAGGAATAGCCTCGACAAGGGCTTCACAATTTAAATATCACTAAGTTAAACACATGCAAAATATTCACAATTGTTGAGACTAGAACTTTGAAAAACTTACCGGGAGTCCTCTAGACTTATGAATTTTATTTTAGCTTTCCCTCGGCAAGCCTTGAGTCCCTAGAATCTCACAGGAATACAGAAAACACAATATTACCGAAACCAAACAAGAAAATATCTACAAGAACACAATATTCACAATCAAACTAAAGGTGATCTTTAAACCTCAGTCACAAAACCGTTTGCAATCTCCGGCAACGACGCCAAAAATTGATCGGTATGACAATTATACATCAACCTTGGCAATAGCACAAATCATTGTAAAATAGGGCTATTGGTCGGGTAAGTCGAACCACAGGGATTGCTAGCTTATGGCAACTAAGGTATTAGAATCACTTTTAGAATGATGAAGGGTGTAAAGAGCTTTGCTTGATTTGTCACTTAGCTAATAATGAAATATTGCCTAAAATAGTAAATGAACGAAATTAAAGATGAGAGGAACTTATGTAGAGAGGGCTAGGGAAGTGAATTCACCACCAACTATGTAAACATGCTTGCTTGCAAATAACTTGGGGGACAAAATATACATGTAACCATGATATGTAGAAATGCAAGACTACTACAACATCTTCAAGAAGTTTACACATTCAAGAATTAAGTATAATCCATCAAAGGTTGGTATAATTCATCCATCTAAACTAAGGTATAGCATGAAATATCCTTCCTACGCTATGAACCATCAAAGTCCTCAATTTATGTGATAAGTGCACATGAAGTCAAAAGTTAAGAATAATCCATCAAAAGGGAGACCCTAAGCTATGGACTATCAAATCTTCCATACAACATGCCATTAAAACCATTTCATATTCTCATCTCCATTCTCACTAAGGAGATGTAAGCCCTATAATCATAAAAACGTACAATCTAAGACAAGATAATACATTTAACACAATCATTTATTGAATTGAAAAACATTTACAAAATGTGTAAGTCTCTAGAATATGAAAAGATTACACAAACACTTCTTTCCCCAAATCAAAACAAGATTATAGCATGCTTACAAAGAATGGCTTCATCACCTCCCTAGGATAGGGAGTTAGTTGCTCATGGATGCAAGAGAAGAAGGAGAAGAAATGAAAACCCCCTCCATTTTCATGCTTAGGAGCCACCCACAAGCCAAGCTCTCAACAAGAACACTCCTTTCTCTCTCTAGAACCTTACAAAAAATGAGAGATCTCCCTTTACAATGTAACCACCCTCTATTATATCAACCTTAGCCTTCTATCTACTCCAAATTTGTGGTCCTAAAAGCCCTAGACAAGATTAGAGCAATCCCTTAAAAAAAGGGATAACATTTGGTAAAGAAAATAGAGGCCCATGCTTGCTGATCCGCAGAATGGCGGGCGCCCGCGGATGCACGAAGCTACTGGCCTTTTGGCGGGCGCCCGTGGGTTCTTGGCGGGTGCCCGCGGGTGTTCCTCAACTCTGCGTACCTTTAGTAAAACAGCCATAACTCCCTGCTCCAAACTTCAAATCACAAACCGTTTGATGATTTAGAAAGCTAATTCAAAGCTCTAAGTATGCCATGTTTTAATAGAAGTCTAGTTTTTAAGTTTGTTGGGTCAAAACTGATGAGCAAAGTAGAACTCCACTGCTGCCAGGCTGTAAACTTCAGCATTGCACACTTTGATATTCAAGAACTCATCAAAACATCATTTTTATTCCTTTTTGGGAAACAAACCTGAAAATATATAAAAACATGCAAATGAAGAAAATCTATATAAAATAATCAAATAATGGACTTAACTAATGCAAATAAGGGTACTTGAATATGCAATATTCGGCACTTATCAAGACTACACATCAGTGGAAAAAGGATATCGAGCGTCATCTTCGTATGGTGGAGTGCACAGAAACTCAAAAACAGATGCTTGCCACTTTCACGCTAGTGGGAGATGCGCTACAGTGGTGGGAGTCTATCACCACTATGGAGGAAAGGACCACACTGACATATGATCAGTTCCAGGATCGTTTTGACGACAAATATTTTTCATTTGCAGTCAGTGCAGCTAAGAAAAAGGAGTTCCTTAACCTACAGCAAGGGGATAGGACAGTTGCAGAATATGAGCAAGAATTTACAAACCTGTCTCTATTTGCATTAGAGGAAGTAAATATAGAGGTAAAGAAGAGGGCATGCTTTTTAAATGGGTTAACTTGGCCCATTAAGAAGGTTATTTTGGGAAGCCCCGCATACACCACATATTCACAGGTTGTTGATGCAGCTTTGCAACATTGCCAGGCTAGGAAAGACTATAAGCGATCTATGGATGAGAATCAGAATGATAAAGACTCTATTAATCACTCTGCTGAGGGCGATGGAGCCAGAAATAAGGATACGGGTGGATTCCAGGGACATTAACCTTGGAAGAAGCACAAGGGTACTTCAGAGGTTCAGAGAGAGGGGGTTCCTACTCAGAAGCAGCAGATTGGGGCACCACAGACAGGACAGGGTCAAGTACAAGGGCAGATAGACCTTTTTAGAGGTCATTGCTATAAGTGTAGAGAATATGGGCATTCATCCAAACGTTGTCCTAGGATGGCTTCGAGACAATATGGGCAACAGGGACATGAGCAACCATTATCGGCTCCACAGTTCTCGCATGTGCCGGCTCAGGTTTATCCAACTTTGCCAGCACCATTGCCACCACAGGGGCAACCAATACAACAGGTGCATCAGGGAAGGGTGTATAATGTTACACCATATAATGCATGGGCACCTCACACTAATTAAGGGTATGTTTTTATTCATGTTATACATAGACATGTTTATTTCTGTACAAATGCATCACATTCATTTGTATTTGGATCATTCGGATTGATGGTGGTAATTTATATAAACCATGGATAGTTAGTATGTTACACCAGTGGGTGTTAGTGCAATCTACGCATGAATAGTAGGCACATTACCATATATATTTGCACATTGGAAATCGAGATTGGGTAAATGTTTTGATAAAGGAGGATTGGGATGTAATAAAAAAAAAAAAAAATTTCATTCCCAGGTTTGGTGTATAGTTCGTTATAGATAAGGAGTCCATGGAAAGGACAAAGGATTAGGTACTAATGTCTCATTAATTACGAGAATTTTTTTTTTTAGGGTTGCTTTTGAGTCAAAAATGAATTTTGACTCTGACTTTAAGGAAATTGTTGAAATAAATATTTCAATGGATGGGAACATGCAATTATCTCAAAGAAAATTTTACTTGCATAAGTCAGGTTTTAATGTTTTCATTCAAGACTTTGGTATAACCCTAATAAAAGGGGAATGTAGTTTCGAATTATCTGGCAAATGAATTTCTGATAATGTGGGATCGATCACTCTAATGACAAATAGAGTGTATTATGGTAAGGGAGGATTTTTGTTTGGATAATTTACAACAAATTAAAGGGTTGGTTAACACTTAGTATTGACATAAATCGGTATTAATCGACAAATCTCTACAGCGGTCGAGATAGGAATGACGAAAGGAACGACTTTCCTTTCTGGTGGATCTTGGAAGTTTAATTACCATGACCATTTTGTATAAATCCACGAAATGGAGTTTGAGTAGTGTTTTGTCTCATAAATAAAGGTAATTACTGTAGTATCATATTGTGGGGGCTAGAATATAAAGGCTTATGGTATACGTCCATACATATGAAATGGATCAAAGAGGGATATCAGAGATATGGGAAGTTATAACTTCTTATCTCATGATTATTGTCAGGGAATTTTGAGGTCGTACTAGATTTGATGTTGACTTTCAGAAGCATTTCACTTTCGTTAGTGAAATTTGATAAGTAATGAGATACAGGGATGTCGAATGTATCAACAAGTATGAAGGAGGTGGTAAGAACTGGGGTATCAACTCTCAGTCTTAACTACTCAGGAGGATGTGAGGGGATCACAAGGTAACATTATTACCACTTTATTAACATTAACATGGATATGGGAAGGTACTTCCGTAACTTATATTAGCGGATTACTGACATTTCATTGGGATTCTACTTCCGTATTGGTAAAGGTTGATAGTATGACCAAGTCAGGATATCCACCGCTACAATAAGTGGATGTGACTAGAACGGGCCATCAATGGCAAGGAAAATGGAGAGCAATAAATAAGCTCTCATAGTTGGACTATAGCAATGGTTGTTAAAAGATTATTGTTATAACAAGGTTTACGGATTTAGATGATTGATCATGTACATGGTTGGGTATTACTGAAGTTTTTGGTTCTATATGCATTTTAAGGACCCGTTGTTGTGAGATACTCTTCTTAGAGATCTTATGTGCACCACTAGCATAAGCGGAATGGTTGTATTTAGCATAAACTCGTATATTCGAGTTCAAGGGATAGGAAGTGCGTTATTACTCCATATTATTTTTTCTTTTTAGAATAAGGTAATTTGGTAAGGAGGGAGGATTGTTACCTCAGTCACTAATTATCTCATATTTTGTTTTGAATAGGTAATAACCTATTTTTGGCATTACTGTATATTTCGCCTCATGTGTGTAAACGGGATTTTTATATTTTTTTTGTTGCCAAATGATGGAACAATGGGGATAGTTACCAACGCAGATAAGTTGGCAAGGTTAGGTTGCAATTAAATACAACAAATACGGATTCGCTTAGCACGTTCATAATGTAATGGATTATGTGTTACGTATGTGTGGCTGGAGTAATTTTCACACGAAAAAGGGAAAATGGAAAAATGAGAAATGAAAATTTTGGTATAAATAATAAAAGTTTTCATTTCAAGGATTCGTGAATTCCGAGGACGGAATTTCTTTTGTTAGGGGAAGAATGTAATACCCCTAGATTTTAAAGGAAATATTTAATTAAATAAATTGCTTTTAAATGGGTTTAAATGGATTTACTGGTTTAAATTAACTTATTTTGTTATTTGATTTATTGGAATGATGATTGTGTGTGTGTTAGATACTTGATTTTTGATTGATTTGTTGTTGTGTTGACTTTGGTTATATGGAATAACTTTGTTGATTGTTTGTATATGTGATGCATGTAATTAGTTGTTTTATGGATTTATTTATTTTATTAAATGGACTGGACTTGGAAATGGACTAAAGAATTTGATAGTGGGCTATATAGGAAGCCTTGGAGGATTTATAAGGCTTAGAGGCCCATGAATTTATGCATGAATGTTTATATAAAATATATTATGCATAATAGATGGATTGGATTATATAAATATATATACGTATATATATATATATATATGACATAAATACATATGATTATCATTATTGTGGGATATTATATATATATATATATATATATATATATAAATTACTAATATATATATGTATCTACGTAATACACATATAAACATATATATATTAGTAATTTATATATATATATATATATATATAAACATATATATATTAGTAATTTATATATATATATATATATATTAGTAATTTATATATATATATATATAAACATATATATATTAGTAATTTATATATATATATATATATATATATATATATATATATATATATATATATATATATACCTACTGTGTAACCCTTAGAAAGGGTTATTACGTGAGAAAGAAGGAAGTAGAAATAGGGTTTGCCGAGAGAGAGAGAAACTGAGGCGGAAAGCTGAACCAAAGGGAAGGCTGGACCAAGGAAGGAGACAACGACAACACAGAGAGAAGCCGGAGTTGCAGATCAGAATTGAGAAGTTTGCGGTGCGTTAGTTTCGTTTTGAAACTTCAGGCAAGTTTTTCTCTACCTCTCCTCTTAGAACCCATAATTTCTACACGTTGGGTATCATAATTTAGACTGTAAATTGCATGCTAATCACCTAGACATAGGGTTAAAAGCATGGAAGGAAACTGGTTGTATGTATATGTATTTATATTATAATGTTTTTGGTTGTTTTTATTTGAATAAAATCATGTTAGATCATGTTTAGAATACGTATATGGATGCATAACTATGTATTAGATCGTCCTAGAATTTAATTAGGATTGTTCTTATATGAATCGGAGGTGAGACGGAGAAGTTACAGAGGTTAGATGTTGCTGTCGCGATGAAGAAGACACTTCAGCCCAACTCAGCCGACTAAGTTAGGAACTCAGCTTGCTCAGTTAGGAACTTAGCTTGCTAAGTTGGGAACTCAGCTTGCTAAGTTGGACCACGACCTGAATGTCTCAGGATTATTTTTAAACTTATTTTAACTAATCTAAATAAGAATGATTAATTTAATAATAATTTAAAGGGAAGTTTTGAATGCTTATACGGCTATTGGTTTTGGAAATATGTTTAAACAATATATTAAATTGTTCTATGAGATTTATCATGTGTTGACATGTTGTAATTGGGATGAAAATCTTAGAGGATTATTTTACATCTTTTTGTGTATGCTTGTATTATACTTATGTTGCTTATTATATGCTTTATTGTGCTTTTAATTTATGCTTATGGGATATGGTTGATTTGGAGGCATGGATTATTTGCCAAGGTATAAATATTTTGTTATCAATTTTGTATGTAGAGAACATACTATTGGAGGCATGGATTATTTGCCAGAGATATAAATAAATTATCATTAACTAAGTATGGACAAGAACATACTATTGGAAGCATGAATTATTTGTCAAAGTTATAAATAAGTTGTCATTAACTAAGTATGGACAAGAATATACTATTAGAGGCAGGGGTTATTTGCCAGGATATAATTGGAATTTCAATTGGTTAAATATATATATTATACTTGTGGAGGCTTGGACGAGTTGCCAAAGCATAAATATAATGTTATAGGAATTAAATAATTAAATAAACATCTATGGTTATGGTTATGTGAATAGGAGTAAATAAAATGCTCCGAGGATTGAGTATGGCATTATTAATGGTTAATTAACCATTTGGATTAATTTTGGGAAAGTGGAGTTTCATGTGATGAAAACGGTGTATGTTAAGGATGGTCGTGTGTATAAATATATAAATCTATATATATATATATATTTATTAATTCACGGTTTGGGATTATAGAGGTAGTAATTATTATTGGTGATTTTATGTATTATTACTTATCCCTATTTATTAAAGGCTATAATTGGAATTAGGATGGTTATGGTTAGAGATGTGTTATTCATCGGTTTTCAGGGGCTTGTTAGAGGGAACTTGTTCGTGGGTTTTGACCCACCTTATTTTATTTTTCAGGTTCGTAGAAGTTCAAGTCTCAAGGTTGAGGATCCGCAGCTTGGAGGCTTATCCATCATCCACTCTCTTTTATTTCAAAGTAGGATGTTGTTAAGTTATTTGACTTTAGTTTTACTTATGATTTTTGTATTAATGGATATTGGTTAAGGGGTCCTTAAACTATTGGATTCCCGAGTTGTAACCTT